AGCAGATAGGTTGCTTAAACACTCTGAAAACTGGCTTAGAACTCTGTCAATGTCAGGAGATAATCAAACACATATCACTGAGTCCCACATCAGAAGTCTGTTGAAACTTGTTTTCTGGGAAAGCATACTTATTAGGGCCCAGAAAATTCATTTGCCTACTGTATTTGAATTCTCATGCCTTTCATCACTGTAAGGCCAGTTAGCAGTTAGGTGTACTGCTGGCAAAATATTCCCGCAGTATGGTAGAATGCTCCCAGAGCTCCAGCCTTTGAAGAGCGGTGCTTTCATGACTGCCTGAAATCATCCTAGCTAGTCAATCATCAGCCCTGCTGCTTGCAGTGCAAATCTTGAAAGCAGCACTCAACACTTGAAGAACTGGCATCAAACCAAACAGCAGTGACCACATGCTTGGAGGTGGTCAGAGGACAGGGAACCTCCAGTGTTACACATGCTGTTCTGAGCAGAGCGCTTCAGCTGCTTTCAGAACCTGTTTGGATGATCCCTAATGACATTTACGTTGCATTTTATCACTAATAATACAGATAACATCATAATTATCAAGTTAGCCAGCCATTGGGAATAGATACTTGAGTTTTCCGGTAAAAAGTGAATCACTTGTACTCCTTCTCAAGGCAAATGGTGAAGCAGCTAGGAAATCAGCATTGAGCATAGCAGCATTTTGCTATGTACATAGTGGATCTTGATAAGAGAGTGCTGTTGGTCTCTGAACTTTGGCATGGGCTAGGTGGAAAGGATGGGTGAAGTTTACCTCTAACTCAGTCTGAACCAGAACTCCAGTGCCTGTCTCTGGTGTTTTCAGTTTGCTGCACAGCTTAAAGTTATGGCACTGAAACAGGGGATAAATTTCTGTACGTGGCTATACGATGTTACACGCTGGCAACTGCTAACTCTGTCTTCCTGGTAAAGGATGTAGCTAATTACACATCCCACTCATCATGAGAAGATTCTCTGATGATCTTTCACAGGGGCAGTGTGAGGGATGAACTGCAGGGTGGTTACAGACTCTACTAATCAAACAGGATAGGTACTTGCCATTTCTTTCAGATAAGGAGCTATTGATCAATCTGAAAGAAATATTTTTATTCCTAGTACTCTGTGTTTCGTGGCATTTAGGATAGATTCCCATTACTCTGCTTCATAACTTTCTCGGTGGGTTTCTCTGTGGTGTCCCTGGATGGGTCACACAAATGCAAGCATAGGTCAGGTTACTGAAAAAGAAAAGCAGGTTACTTGTTAGTGCTGCAGATTTCACCTTGCTCAGGAGAAGTGATCCTCCTCTTCATCCCACTACTTTTCCAGTCCCCTCCCACTCCTAGTCTGACCTCTTCTGTATCTGCATCTTCTGTAGGAATGGATGATTCTTCTCTGGGAAACATATTTTTGGTGAATTTCAGTTAAAAAAAGAAAAAAAAAAAAAAGAATATCTGACCAGCTGTTAAAGTAATTTAGTTCAAGTGCCTGTGGAATGTTTATAAGATCCAATATTGTAGTTCAGCTTGCACTGCAATGCAGTCTGTGGACCAGGGAGACATTATACAATATCTGTTTGGCTTTGAGTTTTTTATATCACCAATTACTATTCTCAAAATATCTTAAGTGAACTGTGTTCTAGGAAAGCGGATAATTTCACTGTAGACTGGCTAATATCTGATTAAAAATGAAGCTACCTTCTATTTATTGTAAAGGCTAGCACATTCATCAGCATGCCTAATTAAAATTTAACAATTAATAAGCAGTGGCAAACCCCATACAAAGGTCAGTAGCAACCTAAGAAAACTTATCAAAAATGCAGGGGGGTTTAGAGTTTTTAAAAAGTTCATTCTGTCCTTAATTAACAGATCTAATTACAGCTCTGCCATAGCAAAATGCAAAATGATCTCTTTAAAAGACAAGAAGTCAAAGATTTAATAGCACAGATAACCTTCTTCTTCAGTACATACTGACCCGAGTTTAGAAGAGAATTTTATGTAGCAGGCATCAACACTGTTGATGGGATGGCTTTGATAGAAATTAAATCTAAGCAATACACAGAAATCCCAAAACAACAAAGGGATTGAGAAGGAATAAAAACTCTCTTGTGTTCTGGGATTTGAACTAACACCAAGTCAAGACTTTGGATAATCTCCTTTCTTAGCAAGTTGTCAATGTATTTATTCTGTGACCTTTGATGGTTAATTTTGAATAACACTTTCTGTTCTATAGACTGCATGTGTTTAATTATCACCTCATTCAACCACAATGGTTGGTGCAAAAATGAAGGATAATCTAGTACAGTAGAGATAAATACAATAGAACAAATCACTTAAAATTCCTGAAGTTAACAGTCAGCATTTAGGAGATGAAGGGCAATATTCCAAGTTTCACCAAAAGGTTTGGTTATGCATTACTTCTTCTAGAAGACTAAGACACCAGCATCAGATGCAAGATCTCTTCAGGGAGACCTGACCAATGTGGCTTGTGAATGAAATTACAACCAAAGGGATGCTGATAGCTCAAATTCTGGATTTCCTGCATCATAATGGTTTTTTTTGTTTTGTTTTGTTTTGTTTTTTCTGTGCTTCATTTTTCTCATCTAGAAAATAGGATGATGAAATAATTTTCTCACAGAATTATTTGAGATCTATTGATGAAAATGGTCCATCAGAGCTGTGGTATTACTAAATAATTCCCAGACTTCCTCTGAAAGCCCTAGACGTAATAGGATAAAATACTAGATTTTTATTCTCTTACTCATAATAGTTGTTCAGAAAAGTTCTCTAACCTTCAAGAAAGTTTTGAGCCCAGATCAGCAGATTAATGTACTTTCCTCAAACCATGTTATGATTCAGGGAAATCAAATCTCAGAGTGATTTGTGTCCCTCTTTTGCCATGGTTATAACTTTATAGGAATCTTAGGATGTGCGCTAGTTGTTCTTTACATTCAGTGGCTGTTAGAAAAGGATTTATATCTGAAGCTTAATGTGTGGCTGTACTGCAGGTTGCCCAGTTTCCTAATACATCACAAGGCTAATTGTATTCAAGCATGAAGCTGAAGTGAGATGTTTTCCACAGAGGTCTTCCACTAAAGTCAAGGGGACTTCAGATCAGCAGCAAAATGTCTGAAGATTTACTTCATGGTCCACAGCAGCTACAGCCATCACAGTCATAAGCACTGGTCTCCATGAAGGAATCTTTCAGGGCAAACACAGCATAGAAACGCCCAGAATAGCTCTGTGTTTATGTTAAGCATTTTATCAGCACAAGAGGAGAGTTCACACACCTCAACAAAAGACGAAAGCAATGTGGAAATAAGCTCTGGCAATTAACTTCCTGTTCTTCTGAGCAGAACAGCAGTGCTAACTGATACTAATGAAACTGCCAGCTCTGATCTCTGAGCAGAGGAATTGAACATAGTGTATAAGCTACCCTCATCTGCTGGCTCCGGAGCACAGCTGCCTTTGGCTATAGAGTTGTTGCACTCTGGAGTTACTATTAAGCCAGTCACAGTACTGTGTATTAGGAAGGTGGCACCTTTACTCATAGCTTGAACTAGAGACAAATTAGGTATTTCTCATAGTCAGAACACAGAAATTATTTAATTTGGAGGTTATTTATTTCATAATTTTTGTATAAGCAACCTAGACTGGTAAGTAAGCTGCAGAAGAATGTGAGAAAAGTGAGTTCAAAAAATCTAGTTACTGCTTCAACTGCCTGAACAGAATTTTGTCCCTGTACTCCTTCTCTGCTCTGGGAGAAAAGTGAAGCTAGGTATAGTCACACTCATTAGATCTGTTCCCTGTGTGTCTGCTTTCTTTCACACCAAAACAAGATCTCCAAGGTTCTCTTGAATTATTCTTGTTCATCCTGTACAACCAGAGCTGATGGGAAGGAGTTCGGAAGATTTTTCATCTTAAATTATCAATAGTTTTAACTAAGGTGCCACATCAGAAGAGCAGTAATGAAATGCATAGGCTAAATGCACAGCTGTGACTTTCAGATTTTGCAAGGCTGTCAGCTAAAGAAAATATATCTTTACCGGTAAAGTGGGGAAATTTATTCCATAAGACTTTGAAAGAAAATAAATTTGGAACTTCACAGTGATATTTATTCAGAGCCACTTCTCAGCAAAGAACCACTTCTTAATATTCTCACAATAGTAGGAATCTCATAAGCATCTCAATGCACCTTAAATTCTTACCTCTGTCAAGAGTCAGCAGCAAAGTTTATAAAAATATCTGGTATCTTGTATTTTGCTGGAGAGACTCTTTTAATCTGTTCACAGTTTTCTGGTACGTGTCTAATTTTATGTAGCAAGAAAAAGATGAGCATATCTGCACTAACTTTGCAAGTTCAGAGATATTTTGCTTTGAAATGTACAAACAGATAGGATCCATGACCAGAATTACAAACGTAGATAGGCATAAAGCATTTGGCATTGCATTTATTTTCTTCTGAATTGTTTCTCCACACCTTGTCATTGCTTGTGTAACATATCAGCAGACCCAGGACAGATACAGTAACATAAATGCCATTAGGCCGCATTCACAGTAGAATGGAGGCTCTGATTTTGTATTTACTAACAAAATGCTAACATTATTCGTATTTTAGAAGAAAGCTACACATGAGATAATACAGGGGAATAACAAGGAACAAGAAAAGTTCAGTCTTAAATGCTTTATTACTGCTATATCTGGAGAATTTCTACTTCATTCTATGGAGTTTAAATAGGAATATCCATACTTCGTATTTGTAAGGTCAAAGCACACATGTGATGGTTTCTTCGTGCTTGGATTTTACTGACAGGAAAGTAAGAGAGGAGCCAGGATGAAGGTTTGTGTGTCTTCCAGTAGAGACTGGGTCCAGCTGCTACAAAGTAATTTACTTCCAGGTGGCACGTGAGTGGTAATGAGTGCTTAAGCTCATTTAGGATCGGGGCCTCACTCTACTTCCAAAACAAGCTTGGCACTAATTAGCTCTTTAAATCACTGCCAGGTGAGTGTACAAAATGAACAAGCGTTTATTTTCAATGTAGTCATTTCCAAATTATGGTGAGATGTTTGCTGAGGATAGAAGACATCTTGAGTATGTTGTGCTTTGACTCTACCTGCTCTGTAACTAAGCAGAGAACTTGTAGTTCTGGCATTACTCCTGGACTTTGCAGTGTCTTTGCTTTCAGTTTCAACTAGGTAAGTGGTAAAAGGTCCTTTTTAGAAATGGCTGCGAATATCAGAATTCACACTGTGAGAAAAAGTTTAAATATTCAGAAATTCTTTTCCAAAGCAACAGTTGAAAATCACTGTAAGAATTTCTGCACTCTTCTTTGTCTTTTATCTCAAGAAGAAAAGCAAATCCACAAAACCTTGAGAAATGAAATCTGTCTTTGACTTTATTTCTATACCTGAACTTGATACATGTGTGTTTGAAAACTGAGTCTTTTGTTAATTAGCAACTGCGTGTGTTTGCAAATTTAATGATACTGTGTCTAGCTTTTTTTATTAGGATAGGATAGCTTAATTATACCAATTAAAAGCTCTTACAGATGTTGAGCCTGTACTCTGCTAACACTGCTAATACTTTTTACCTGCTACAGTGCACTTTGGGCATCTCTTAGTTTTGGTAAATCTGAGTGGATGTTGTCTTAGATATGGAAGAGAAAACCACAGCTGTATACCTTATATATATATATATTTTTTTTTTAGAAATTTGGAAGGGCATATTGTGAATTGAAGAGAGTTGTCCCTTTGTTCTTAAGCTTTAAACTTTGACTGAATATATGCTTGTCTTTGTTGCAAGCTTTAATTGTAGGCATTGAAACTGTAGTTGACTTCGCATGTTCTTGGCTTGCTGACTTTGCTCTACCCTCTTAACAGAATAAATGATCTCATGTAATAACAAACCTGACAGATCTTCATAATTGATCGCTATTCTTCACAGATGAAGGGCATAGGAAGCAAACAGAATAAAGCAGTGTAAGTATCATGAAATGCAAGTATTGATTCTTTTAATAGCAGTACTGCTTGTCTCTGTAAGTGCCTACTTCAGCAGTAAGAAATTATGGGGAAAAATAGAAGTGAGAAGTAAAAAATTAAAATCAGACGAGGGGGAAAAAAGTATTACAGATAGCTCAGTGAGGGCCTGCCAAGTAGTCTTTTTTGCCTAAAGGTTCAGCCTTATGCAAAGCCTTTAATTGTATCAGTAGATGATTTTTGAGTTTTTGAAGGCTAAAGCAGTGTAACTGAGGTAGGGGTAATACATCAGCTTTGCTGGAACTGGATACAAGTTAGTGGTGTTCAAGACACCTTTAAATAATTGAAATGATTTACAGATGAGTGATTGGTGTAGACTGAGAGGTACTGTGGGTAATGGATAGAATGATGTGGGGGGGCAGCTTGTACCTCTTACAGCAGGCTTGCAATCTAGCAAATTGTGCTTTCAGAGTCCGATGTCCTTGATAAACAAGAAATGGCAAGACTTATTAAAGTGCAGTCCAATCATTGTTATACCCTGATACTGGATGAGATAGGTGTCAAGTTCTGTTATTGCTGAAGTTTTCACAGCATCTGAACGATCTCATTTGAGGTGTGTGAGGAGACACACTGGCATAATATGTGCACACCTATTCCCAAACCTGCAAAACCACTGCAGGAACCCTTTAACCTGCTCTTTCATCTTCTCTTATACATCACTGTTGTCTCACAATCTGCTCCCACTGAGCACGCTGCAGTTGTCTAACAAATTTCACATTCAGATGGTTGACTCGCATTACACTCCACAGGGTCATATGAATGTTCTGAAACTGACAGTTGTGATTACAAGTTAGTTGGGTAAGAAGAGGACCCCTGGGCACAAATCTCTGATGTACCTGAAAATTTTTTTGGCAGCAGTGACTAAATCTATCCCAAGCCTACAAGGTCAATTTGCAGCTCAGTTGCTATCCATATTTATCTGCCTCACACATGAAAATTTTGTTATGACAATGATAGGATCTCTAGAAAATACCTCAAGTAGTTTCTGTGGATAGCTTGTAATGCTTGCTCACTTGAAACAATCTTCCAGAATATTTCATTTTCCTGATGGTGATCTCTTCTATTATTTTAAAGAAACAAAAAGTTCTTGGGGTAGTACAGTTCGCCTTGGTTTCAGATGTCAGTGGCCTGTAGCTTGGTAAGTCTTGGTCACACTGCTGTCATGGAGTGTAAGCATTGTTCTACTAAACAGTGGAGGGAGTTGCTTGTCTGCTAGAAGTAAGTAGGGTGCAGCATAAGATCATCAAGTTACCCGAATTTCACATGCTAGGTATGACATCTCACATCACTGAGGCACTTGGGATTTTCCCTCCATTCCATATTTTTTCTGTTCCTGTTTGCACTCGCAGCCTCTTAAGCACTTCCAGTTTCTGATTTGTCAGTAGGAGTTTGTGTTATCTCACATATTTAATCACAGCAGCGGTGTGACAAAAATGCCAAGTTAACTACAACTATAAAGGGGAGGAATTGTTCACACATGTCATGTAAATTTTAGAGTTAGTAGGTTTGGGTTTTTTTTGTTTTTTGAGCAAACAGAAGGGGCAAAAAATTTGGCTGCTGAAACTGGTTTTAAAGCATATATCATAAGGTGATACTTGAAAAGTTTTGAGTTTCATCTCTTGCCAGAGAACTGCATGTTTCAGTCCATAGAACAACCCAAGCACTGCATGGCATGTGTGATATAGGTGCATGCCTGAAATGGATAAAGGTTTTTACTATGAATTTGTAATTTACTAAACAAAATGGTTGACTCTTCTCAATTCCCAGGGCAGTCCACCTTTGAGCTGTTACATACTGCTAAAAATAAGAGTTTCATTGCTCTGAATTACCTGTTTAATATTGGGATGGTTTAGTTGATATTGTTCTCTGATCTTCTTCAAGAAGAAAATTGTGTAAGGAACGTTTCACAGTGGCTGGGAGAAATTGTGGTATTTTTGTGGTAGGCACTGAAAGATGCTGGGGAGAATAGCTTCCTCTAGTACAGCCTTACATGTCTTCTGTAAGTTTTAATGTATCTAGGTAGCATGAGAGTTCAAGAACTTCAGCATTCAAATACTGTCACTGCAATTAATTGCACCAGAGGCCTAATATACCATATGCTGAAGCCAACGGGAGTATTTTCATCAGCTGGAATGAATTTTGGATCAGGTTCAACACAGAAGAGTTGCAAACTCTGCAGCTCTTCACTCTCAGAGAGAAGCTCTCCGCTATGTCAGCTAAAAGAAAACTCACTATTAGCTGAGTTCATATCGTCATCTGAGATACTGAACGCATATACAAATTCTGCAAATGTAGAAGGTAGCATGCTAGATAGGCACAAAATGCATGTTAGTATCTTCAGAAGCACCAACTCTGTGCACTGTGTATGTGCTGTTATATGCCTTATACAAAGTTTCTGCTCAGTCGAATTAGTCTTTTTAGTCTAGTAGTTAATCATAAGACCGTATCTTAGAAAATGCTCTCTGTTGAGTGACTGTAAGATAGGGAACTAAAATACAGGAAATGGAAATGCAGGTTTTTTTTCAGCATCAATATGCAGTCCTTCCTTGTGACCTAAAGAAAATTTGTTTCAGCTCTTTCTCCATCATTATTCAATTGCTAAAATAGCAGTTACACTCAAGTAGGGATCACAAAATGCTAACAGTGTTCTATTGTGAATGTACGTTCTTGCTGTTCACAGCCTGGAGTACTAGCCCTGCAAATTTTTGCTTTTTATTTACGGCTTTCTAAGCACATTTCTAGAGGGAGATGTTACAATCTCTGTCAGGGATACAAACAATAAAATATTACTACATAGACAGCATCTCTGAAGCTACAATACAATCCAATCAAACTGACACAACTGATAAAATTTGGTGCCACAACTCTTGCACAGTCTTTACAGCACTCTGAAATGCTTGAATACAGCATGGTTTTGAAAGCAGTATGATGTTTTTGCTATAAAAACGCACTACATCAGTGCTAAAGAATAGTGTCCTTCATTGCAGTGATTTAGTGCTCCATCTCAACCCCATTCTCATCAGGAATTGGCCACCAGAGACAGCTTCAAGTGTTTTGCTCCTTTTAAGTAAGAAATCTAAATTAGTGGAAGCTTCAAATGGAAATGTATATTTTCTTTTGCTCCCAGAAAACACTCTGTCCTTTGCATCGATAACACTGATTGATTGATTCTAAATGTGCTAATCTTGTTGAAAATGGTTTTATTGTGCTTTCTCTGAGTCTAGTAAATGGGGATGGAAGGTGATAGTTACAGTAGATACAGTGTAATGCAGCTGGTGAGTCAATTCCTATATACCAGCATGTGGGAGTTGTATTGCTTTAAAAAGTATTGTAGGGCTGAGTCGCAAAAATAATGCCTTCTGTTTCATTTTGGTGGCCCAGGTCTGAGGCAGATGTTGGTGATATGGCAGTAGAGGTTGAATCTTCCCAGCAACACTGCATTACATCCTGTTGCTGTGCTACAGATGGTAGCAGGGAGGCAGTGTGACAGAAAGGCGCCTGATGTGGCAGTGTGTATGAAGCAAAGGTGTGGAACTGAATTCCTCCACGCGGAAAAAATGGCTGCTATTGGCATTCACCAAAACTTTCACTGTATTATTTTCAGAGCAACTTACATATTTCTTGAAGAACTAACTTTATATTTATTAGGAAAGCATTTCTTCCCTGGAGAAGTTTTGGTCTCATATTATCACTGTCCACTTGATGACAGGAGAAAATATTAACCATATTCACCTTTGAGATCTTTTTGATTATATGGTACACAGTATTACAGATTTTAAGACTAGAAGAGGCCAATCCTCCTATATGAATCTTGTCGAAGAATTTGACTGAAAATTTGACTGACTTCTGCAGCTAAACCCAAGAAATTTGTTCAGTAACTATCAAACTTTACCACTTTTTGTTGTTCTTTCTTCTTCCCCTAGGAGCAATGTAAATTTAAATGAAAGAAGCTTTACTACGCTTTGAAATAATTTGGTACGTGTTGACTTCTAAGTATCAAATACTGTTATTAGACTTGGTGGGAAGGGTGAAAAAGACTGCATTTTTGCGTGGTATGGAATACACTCTTTGTAAGGCAAGCTCAGAGCAAGTCTCCCACCCCAGCACATTTCCTACTGCTTTCCCATATTGCTGCAAGTGATACCACTGTCTGGCTAGACAAAAAGAAACAGATCTTAGTTTTTCAAAGCTGCATCTTTCCTTCTTTCATCTGTTCTCTGCTTATCTCTTGCTGTCATTCAGACCCCCTCTAGGAGGAAGATTAAAGAACAATATGGAAAAATAAAGGAAACAACAAGAGTGTTTATTTTTAAAGATGATTTTCTCAAGAGCCTCTGCTCTCAAATACTTACTGTCAGGTTTTAATTTTGTTGTTTGCTTTTGTGTTTAAACAAATTCCACTCTGTCATAAACACTCCTTGTGTAATTTCTAGTGTCAGGAAGAGAAACTTGAGCTTTGAATTAATTGTATAAAGGTACAATTATGAGGAGAAGCACACGGCAGATAAAATAGTGGGTTCTGTCTGTCTAGCCATCCGTTCATTTATTGTTCATTTCCATCTGTCTTTGCCTCACTTCCAAGATTGCATTGTGTATTTTTCTAAGTGCTATTAAGTGCCAGAGGTTTGACTGTTACATTAGCTTACCTCAGTAAGAAATAGTATTTGGTTATACTGAAATTATTTTCTGTTCAGATTTTTAAAAAATGTATTTATGTCTGCAGAAGACTTTTATAAGGTTTATTGTGTAGCCCTTCTTAACTAGAGATATTCTCCCTGCTACACAAGACATACTTCAGGGCTTTTCTTTCCTTTGCTGCTCGCATTGTATTATTATTTTCTGTAAGACTTATTCAGCAAAATACTTCGCTTCTAAGTCTTACAAATTGTGAGGTTTCATTAGCATGGGAAAGGACAGGTTTCGATAAGGTGGGTGGGATTGTA